CCTACATCATTGTTATTGAGTAAAACAATTCCTACACCAGGTCCAATACAACACATCACACCTTTAAAAAATTCTGAGTCACCATTAAACCGGTGTATCAAAAAGACCCTGAGTGCATCAGATTGAAGCAGAACCATTTGGGTCCAAAAAGACAGCCATGCCCAGATACAGCAAGAGTCACACTCCCTGGTTTTTCAGCTTCTCAAGACACTTTTTCATCCCCTCTGCCATCAGCTGCAGGTAAAGCTTGCCTTACCTGAGTAGATAAGTCAGCACATCAAGGAGTGAAGAAGATGCTATACTTTGTCTACCTACCCCTGAGAGATCAACAGGTCCTTCCTCCCCCTGTTCCTGCATAAAGATTACCTGGTTGCCTTTGTAGGTTAGGAGCCCCACCTGAGCTGGCCAAGTTCAGGTCAGACATGCTGTCGCTGCAGTAAATCAGGGTTGATCTGGCTGAGTTAACAGGAGTTCATAATAACTGGTAAATGGCAGCTCCCTTGCTCTCCACCGCAGCAAGCCCAGAAGTAATTCAGTCCCGATTAGAGACGCTTGTTCAATATTCAAAATGTAAAACATGGAGGTTGCTGAACCAGCACTTTGAAAAGTTAATTAAATGCCAGGTTTCTTTTTAGCAGATACTCCATCACTCGCTGATTGCTTTGGCCATTTTGCAGAGTGAAGTTTCATCTCTATGCATTGGGAATAAATATTCTCCCCTCCCTTGAAGTCAGGGTGCCATGACAAAGGTCATGGGTCTCTCCCCTACCACATGCACTGTCCCATGACATGTCAAGATGTAAGAGAAGTTGCAAGGCTTCATTGCCTTGCACTGCTCCTTTCAAAGCACTTTCATGAGATGTGACAATCCTCCCCTCATCTGTTCTCTGTTCTAGCAGGTTATGGTCCTCATCTAGCTCTCCTGTGAATAATCTACTCTCCTGAAAGCAAGGAGCAGGGCACAGAGGTTGTCCATCTATGAGAAGAAGAAAGCCCTTTGACTGATCTCCCTGGAGCTTACAGTCTATGAGAAGCTAAAGATTACACTGAATTGGTGATCTGAGCCCAGTAATACCCACTGCTACAATCAGAACTGCAGCTGTGTAGGTGACATCTGCATCTGGGCTTTCAGCTCTAATCTGCACCCTTCTGTCATCAGAAGACACAGAAGTGCAATGGAGCAGGGGAATTTAGGAAAGACCTCTTCCAGTGAGGAGTAATTGTCCAGCTCCATCCTTCTCCCCAGTGGTAGTGTAAAGTACTTTTTGGGAATCCCCTGATACTATGGAGAAAGAAAGGGATGGCTTCAGAGAGCCCACCACCAGCTCTCACTAGAGTTTAGAACCTGAGAAGACAGAGATGGAAAGACAATGCAAGATTTACCCTATTTTATCCCTTCTCTACCTTCACCGAACCGCTTCCCACACACTGTCTTCAGAGCCTTGACCTCACTGAGTTGAAACATCCCAAACAATGGCTTTGCACTGCCTTGCACAGAGATGTTTTCCTGCAGGTTCAATCTAACCTTTTCTTAGCATGATCCCATAAGTCTTGATAATTGTCCAGTCCCAAGTAAAACTCTTTTCCTCAGTACTCCCACTCCTTACTTCTTTGCTCATCTCCTGTCCCCAGGCAGGAGTGAAACACTCCACATGTTTACCTGTCCCAGGAGAGGGTCACTCCTGCTGTCCCCATAAGCAATTTCTGTTTCTTTTTCCTGTCATAACAGATGGCCCACAGGGAAGCCAGTCATGTTAGTCTTAGAGGCAGAGACTACTTCACTCATGTTCTCAGACTTAAAGCTTTCCCAACTTAACCTTGTTACGTTAGAAAAGGACTTATTCGGGGCAATAAGCAAATACTTCATTATGAAATAGCTGCACTATAGAGGAAAAATACTAATTTGGGGAAAAAATTCATAAACTAGGAGCGGAGAATATGACCCTTTTAATCTCAGAGCCCGGGTGTTAGAACACTCTCCTGTCAAACAAGACAGTCCCTCCTCTCTCTAAGGCAAGCTAAAGCCCCATGGTCAGCACCCCAAGAACACCCTAGTCCCCGTGCCACAGGGTCTGAAGGTGGCAGCGCATGATGCTAGTCTCTCATGCTGACAATACTGTGGTTTATTCAGAGCTTTGCAATACCAACAGCACTAGAGCAGGAGCTAGAAATGACTGTTGTTCTGTTTAGGTGAGACATCTGCTTCCAGTCACCTGCATTAGATATGTTTGTTAACATATGATTTGGAATAGCATTATTTGATGAAACTGGCATTTCAAACCACCTGATAAGCTCATGGGTAGAGAACTATCTAGGAAATATAGTATGGAACTTCTGGAGCACGGGAAGGAATTATGTGTTTTTGTACTCCCTGTGGCCTTAATGACTAAGCTATTAGGTAAAGAAGATACCAACCAGCCTACTATTTTCTTTCTTTTTTATGGAGCCTTGAACACAAAGGCTTCCTTTCATTTTGTTTGAAGCCAAATTACTTTTACATTCCTTGTTTCAGGTTGGAAAAAAAAATTGCAAAATATTTTTGGTTGGTTCCTGACTAATGTTATGCTTTTTTGGCCCAATTGCATTACCTAAATCTACCGAACAAAGTGACACAGAGATAAAAGATAAGCTTTGCCCTGTGTCCTAAGGTCCCTGTGCCTTGTCCCTACTTCAAGGCAGTAAGGGAAGAAAGTCGTTAACAGATCTTTGAAAGGTGCCCTACCTCCAACCTCGTCCATTCCATAAGCTTAGCCGAGGGCTAAACTATGCACAGAGACACCATTCCTAGAGAACCAGTCACCTGCTTGTCCCTTTGTTCTCCAGGTGCTATGGAAAGCCCTGCAGGCATTCTTCATGAAGTTATCACGCTGCTTTAAGCATCGTGGAGTACCCCATCCTGCAAACTGGCTCAGCTTATCAATGCCAATTGCATCATGTTGAGACCAACACTTCATCCTTGCAGGCCTGGATACACAGTGTCCTCTTCATTCACCACAAGGTCACAGCTTTCTAGTGGCGAGGGAAAGCAGACATGGAAGAAACCAGACTGTAAACTCAAGCCAGCACAGATTTCTTACTCTTTTCTTTTATGTTCTTAGT